GGTGAGCACTCAGAAGATGAATCTTTTTTTTTTTCATGAACTCATTAAATAAAAAAATAAAAAAAAATAAAAAAAGATCTATTGCCAGTCTTATCCTTTAATTACATCTCAATGACATTACTCTTGTACTACTTCTTAAGGAAATGTTTGAAGGCAAAACTTTTGTTTTTGGATTAGAATACTTCTTCAAGTATTTCCTCTTTGCCCAAACGCCTCAGTTAATCTTCAGACAAAGGTAGGGTGAGTTAGTTTGTATCCTTGAAGAATTAAAGTTGTGAAAACACGCATTAGAAATGCTGTACCGATGTATTAATAAATATATAAAACCTCTGAAAGCAGAAGTCTTTCTAAAAACATTTCTTCACCCACATAACTGTCATGAGGAGCACTTGCAGCTGCACAGACTGAGGAGACGAACGAGTCTGCACGTTCCCATCTGAGTTTCACGTGTTGGTGCACAGGTGGTACGACGATTTCTTCATGTGACAGCTTGATTTAAGTGAACAGGGGCGCTAATGGTCAGCAAAGCATCAACAGAGCCTCTTCATAAATGTTTCACCTCCCTCCGGGGCACGCGCAAGCGCGCATGCACGTGACTGCATCAGTGAGACCAGCGCGTTGCTCTCTCCAAAGACAGCAGAGTTCTTACAGCTCGAGGGGAAAATCCTTAGACAACACCACTGATGAGAAGATACTTGTGCGTGTGGGTGTGTGCACTTTACTTCAACCATTCAGACACTGCGATCAGAGGCTGAGTACTCACACCACCTAGTGGCATTACGGCCTTGAATCCTTTTGGTTTTGCTTTTTGTCAAGAAGTTGTAAAAACAAAACAATTCTTGCACCTGCAAGCTAATCACCTATTCACTCCCTCCACATACAACAAACTGTGAGATAAAGCATCAAATGGAGCCGCAAGGAGTCAAAAAAAAAAAAAAAAAGCTGCATTTTGCCGAAGTAATTCCCATAATTAAAACCGCAGAAACCAGAACACAGCGGTTTCTGAAAATCTAAAGCAGCCTGTGCGCAAGGGGAGATGCTGAAAAGACAAACGAGTCAAGCCAGGAGGAAATGTGGCCAGATATGGAGAGGGATGAAAGAATGAATGCTGGGAAGGGGGAAAAAAACAAACAAACAAAAAACAGTTGTAGTTGCTCGCCGTAGGCTGCGCAGCCTCACTGAGAGGGTTTGGACTGACAAGTTGGAAACGTTAATCTCATGCCTCTGCATTCTCCTTTTCCCCATTTTTCTCCTCCCTCACATTCACCAACAGCGGAGGACATCCTACGAATCTTGTTAAGCTATTGGAAATGCTGCGTTTTTCCTCTTTGTTTACTCATCCACTTCCTTGCCACATCGATCATCACAGAGGGAATGCTCTCTCTGCCTCTGACCTCCCACTACTGAGAAACTGCCATGAAAGCTATAATGTACAGCAAGCGGATGAAGGCAGAGGTGCCCGTTGTCTGCAATCATGCGTTTTAGAATTTTAATCTGCTCTTCTGCCTGCATCTAATCATGTATTTGCATGTTGGGCAACAAAACATAAAGACATAATTACATGTTATCTGTGCAATGTTTACTCAACATGTTTCCCTGTCTTGACAATTCCTGACGCTTCACATTTCGAGGCAGCGTTTGTTGAATCGTGGTTGACACAGCTGTCGCCTGTATGAAATCAGTGTTGTCAGATAGTATATCACTACATTCCCCTCGTTCCCCAAGCTATTTGTAAGTTTGACTCTTGGCTAGCAACTGCAACAAGAATCTTTTGTTTCCATTATGCAGCAGTCAGTCAAGCTGAGGGGCCACGTTCACAAACTGTCACCGCTGAGTGCTGTTAAGTATAGTGACCATGCTTTGGACTCTCACTCTATCCCTGCCAGTTTGTCAGGGATGAGCGAGATCCAGGGGGTTTTGCACATCCACACGCACACAGGCACAAACTGGGATACAAAGTTAAGCATTCAGCAGCTGCTACACATACATGAATACAAAAAGGAAGCTAAACACCACTTGTGTTTAGTAAAGTGTTCACCTCCCGTAGCTCTGAATACATAACATTTTTTAACTTGCTCAGAATGAAAGAAAACAATCGAAGGAAGAAACCACATAGGGAGTGTACTGAAAGTAGCAACTTTTTTTTTTTCTTTTTTGAGATACAACTATTTACATGTAACCAAAGACAATGTCCTTGAAAGGGGTACAAACATTTTTTTCCTCTTCCTGCAATTTTTGTTTTTAAAACAACTCAGAAATATTGTATAAAATAAAAATATCAGCTTCAGGGGAAAAAAGTAGTCTAAGCATCTGAAATGTCCATTAACTGGTATGTACAGGAGTATTTACATTCGGACCAGATTTTTTTTTTTTTCTCAAAGTGATTAACAGTAAAATGCAGTTGCAGTTCTGTTCACTGCAGCCCTACAAAGCAGATAAAACTAACGTTTTTACAGGTATGGCTGTCATTCAAATCAGTGATCGTACATGTGAGCAGTACAAGACAGAGGCTTTTCCAAGGATCAGGTCAACATCATCATCAAGGCTTAAATGACACCAATATAGAATAAATAAATGGGAGCTTAATGCATGTTATCCAATGCAAACATATCATGAGCAAAAACATGAAGCTGCTTGTGGCTGGACACAGGAAAATATTAGACTCCCCTAACCAGTGTTGGTCAAGTTACTTGAAAAAAGTAATCAGTAACAAATTACTGATTACTTCCCCAAAAAGTAATCTCATTACTTTACTGATTACTTATTTTCAAAAGTAATTAATTATTTAGTTACTTAGTTACTTTTTAAAAACACGATTTACAACCTGAATAGGTGATAAAGCGATAGATCTTTCAGCCCAATTCTACTTTTTCTACATAACCCATCATACAAAATGTAATCAAATGGAAAAGTCTCTTTTTAAAACTTGTTTTATCAGTTTTAATCTTTTAACTTTATGCATCAAGCAAAAATTTAATTATATGCAACATTCTCTGACTGGAAGAAATTTGTTTAATATTTAAACCTATTTTCTGCACATTCCAGCACATAAAATACATTTTTTTTTGTGTTTACACTCACTCTTTCAAATAGATGCAAGTAAAACACAGCAGAAAATAAATAAAGTCAAAGACTCAGCGGTCCTGTTGCTCTATTTTCACCTGTAAAGCAGGAGTGGCATAGGCGGAGGTTTACCCTGGTGCAGGTGTGCCGCAGTGGTCAGTGGAAGAATCAGCCAGTTTCTCTGTGAGTTTCTCATTACGTCGTAGCTACTCTGTGCTTTCTTGGAAGTTTAGGGGTTTTTTTCGCTGTAAAAAAGTTTTCTTCCCACGCACAATGGACGCTAATGTTTTTGTCACTTTTTATGGAATCAAACTCAAAGTAAGGTCAGTACTTCCACGCTTTAAACGCTGCACGCTCATACTCTCTCTGCACTCGATATGTGATCCATTGTTGATCTGCACACAGCTGTTGTCACGAACGTCGCACTCGCTTACGTCACTGTCATGAGACATTAAAAAAAAAAAATCACGGTTTTAGTAACGCAGTAACGCAGCGTTCCTACGGGAAAGTAACGGTAATCTAATTACCGTTTTTGCAATAGTAATCCCTTATTTACTCGTTACTCGAAAAAAGTAATCGGATTACAGTAACGTGTTACAAGTAACGCGTTACTGCCCATCTCTGCCCCTAACCCCATCCCACTTATGTTGATCAACATGTGCATAATATTTTAGTGATTGATGTTTAAAAACTACAATTTAAGCATAAATTTAGCCACTCATAGATGTGCTGTGCCCAGCCACACAGCTGTATCACAAGGGGTGGATTATAATGAGCCGATGTTGGACACAACTGGGATCTCATTGCGTAGGCTTTGCATTTTACACAAGAGGAGAACGCATTAAATTAAATACATTAAAAATAACTTCATTACAAACATAAAGGAAGCACAACAATCATAATTTTGAGTAATCCATCACGTTATACCAGTGAGTTTAAATGCATACTCTAATTACACACGGCTGAATTAAATGAACTTTAAATAATCTAAACAAACTAAAATGTGAACAAACAGACAACAGCTGAGAAGAATTCTAACTTTTAGAAAAGCTCGTAATTTTCCGAGTGCCGTCACCAGTCAAATAACGGACATTCTATTAAAAGTCAGTATGTCACGCAGTCCTGATTTCTTTAACAGTAACTCATAATTTTGGTAGAGAAATGCCCTCAAGGCAAAAAGAAAAATCTAAAAATATAATGAGCCAAAGCCTACAAAAATCAAGCTCCCAAAAATTACTCGGCACAAAATGAAAAGCTTAGAAAATAAGCTAGAAATTCGATTTCCCTTAAACATTCAAGCCAATTGCAAATGTGTAAGTCAATGGGATTTTGCATTCAAAAATCATTCCATACAGGTTTTACGTACAGAGACATCATTCAAACGTCTGTGAAAATGATTTCATGCTAATCTATGATTTCACCCTTGGCTTGGACGTGGACACGCACAGAAGAAAATGTAATGATCCATAAAATTTGATTCAGTGGTTCACACTCCAGCTAAGCAGCCAGAAATCAAGACCCGGCAGCAAACGGGAGACTCCTCCTCAGTGGCCTGCTACTGTCACACATCTCGGGATGATGTGTGAAGAAGTCTGCTTCGTTTAACTTTCCGCGGATTACGGGGATGTAGCCTCGCGTCTGCCCGATTCTCACCTGAGGATGAATCTGGATCTGACTCTAAATGGGCTGTTAGCCGAGTGGAACTGAAGTTGTCTGCATGTCTGTCAGCTAGCAGGGCTTTGGTTCGAGTTGTGCTCCAGACAGGGAGTGAAACTTGTGTATATCTGTATGCGTGTGTTTACGCACATGTCAGTGTATGCCTTTTTTCCTCAGAGTTTAGAGTGATCGCAACATCTGCTGATCAGGTGAAGTCAAGAGAATGCTGCTAAGACTCCAATGGCCCCTTGTGGCTTCTAATGGGTAGTGGAGAACAAGAGTAACCTGGAAACCGTTTAATGTGCAGTCGGAGTAAGAGCTCGATAGTTTGCTGTCTGTTAACAGTGCTCCAGGTAGTCGATGACCCGTGAGATGGACTTCTGTCCTGTGGTGCCCATTGCACACTGTGTGGAGACAGAACAGGAAAAACAAAAACAAGTGTGTGAGGATGCCAACAACTTTACTTGTGAGGTCTCGATGCAAACACTGATGATAACAGGATGCTTCTGTTCAAAGGGGATGTTTATGAAACAGATGGTTCCAATCTTCAGCTCTGACAGGATGTGTCACAATCAAAGCTGCTGCAAAACACACATCTGTGGCGTGGTAGTGCTAGCATCACAGGAATCCTTGAATTATTTGAAAATTATGTTTTGCAAATTTTATCATTTCGATTATGCCTCTTGGACATAAAAAAATATTGAATTGTTAATAATCTGTTGAATACATTTAGTATTATAAAGAAGTAGTACTTCATAAAAGCCAAGTGCTACTATAAGCTTTTTATTTTTTGGAAGATGAGCAACAATCAGAAAGGCTTTCATTTATTCATCTTTCAAATGTTTTGAATTCCTAAGTCATTTCATTAATAAACAGAAATAAAGGCTCAGCATTTCACTCACTTTCTAGGGGGTTCTGAAAGGAGCTGAACTGAGCTATAGAAAAACTGCAATTATTTGAAACTAAAAGGGAAAATGTGGTATTGTACAGAATTACTGGGCCTCAAGAATGTTTATTTCATCCAAGCCACTTCACTGCACAAAAATGTGCTTTTGCTCAATGGGTCCAATTAAACGGCTTTTTGTATCTTCAGTTAAATTTGCCTGAAGCCAAGGATTGCATCAACACTCAGAGGCGTTAGGAGGAGGGGAAAAAAAGGGACGAAGACCTTCAGTGTCAGTATTTTCACTACACTGTCACTAAAATATAAGTATTTTTTGTTTGTTTGTTTTTTAAGAAAAACACTTTGATTTGTTGAGCCTGTATAATTCATCATCTATTTGCATAACTGTAGATCATTTTAAACTTCGTCAATCTCAACATGCATCATCACGTAACACTGATAACAGAGGGCTGATCTGGATAGTCACACTCACAGTGAGGTTCATGAAGCTCAAGAACTTCTTCAGCATTTCTGTCATGATGGAGAAATCTCCTTTAGGTAGATTTTCTCTCACAGTAGTCACATTAATCTGAGGATGGCAAAAAAAGGAAGTGAGCAACAACACATATTATAGATTTTTTTTATTATCTTTTTAAAGATCTGGACAAAACAAAATGTATAAATCTGCACCGGTTCTTACCTGGCTGCCCTGACAGAGGCAGCCCAGCAGCAGGGCTGTGTATGAAGCAACAATGCTGTCCTCCATATGCTTGCCTGCGTGCTGCAGAGCTGCAGTAACCACAAAGGAGAAAGACAAGGTTTCCCAATATATATTTAGCTGTAATTCACTGATCAGCTCACCCAACACTTCTACACAGCATTAAAAACAATGAGTCCATGATGTTCACAAGAGTAACATTAACTCCTGTTTTACAGTGCTCATGGAGGTCACATTCAAAGGACTAGCAAATACTAAAGAACAAAGGTTTGCATTTCGCAACCTAAACTTCAATGGAGCTGCAAAAACTATAGCTGGACACAGGTTTCATTATTCATTAGCAAAGCCTGTTATGATGCAAAGCATGCGCTGTGGCAGAAACTAATGACGCAGTTGAGAAAAGCATCAAGGCTAAAGCTAAACAGATTAAAGTGTAGAAGTCAATTTGCCAAAAATCATGGCAGCACTCTACATCAAAGCCTGAGAAGAACATTGAAGGCAAAACAACAAGAGCTGTTGATCTTGCATGACAAACTGACACAACATCACTCAATGACCAGAGAAAGTATGGTGGAGACTTGTAACAATCCCCCCCCCCAGCTATACTTATGGGGTTCCCATGTTATTTTCAATAAAAATCATTTTGTTTTTTTAAATGGCATAAATAAATAAAACCTAAGAGCAAGCAATTTGAAAATTATGTGTTATATTCAGGCTTTTATAAACAAGCTTAACTTGTGAAGACAGCACTTTGATCTGTGGTTTTAATAGTCTTGCAGATAAGAAAACAAAAACACCCTCTGTCAATTTTCTTTTCTTTAACAATTTTCCTTTCTTTGGGAAAAAAAAAGAAAAAAGAAAAAAAAGTGATGCAGCGAGATAAAATTCTACCAAAGACACAGACAGAGAATAATCAATGACATATTTTTAAAATATTGGGTGGATGTGGGTGTGCCAGGTGGGGAAAACCCCACTCGGCACACCCACACACGTCAATAGAGGTGCGACCTGGCCATCCTAACCCATAGTAATTTAAAGATCAGGAATCTACGAGCTCAAAAAAAGAAAAAGTTTTCTCCATGTCGATCTAGAAGTTTTAAAACTTTGGGAAACATTAAAAAGAAAAACTGGAAATGTCATCTCAAAGGAAACTGCCCTTCCTTTGTCTGCACAATTTCTTACACAGCTTATACACAAAACTCAGAATTTTAAGATGAATTGATTAATAAATGAAATTATTCCCATTATGGATAAATGTTGTGAATCTACCTCCCCCCTCCCTTACCCCCAATCATTTGGTGTGTAAAATTCAGCGAGAATGTCATTTGAAAAGCCAGAACTGAGCAATGTTGGATAAATTAGTTTTAAAAACAAGTTTTTGTTATTGAAGACAAGTGTGGTCTCCCTTAATATCCTTATTAGAGATTCGGTTAATTAATTCTTAATAGGGATATTTTTCAAAGCTTTACAGTTACTGGTATCTTCATCCTTATTGCAGATATTACTAACTCATGCTTAAACTGAGTCAGCATTTATTTGGATTGTAATTTTACTCAAAGCTACAAACAGCTCCTCTTATATGCACAAACCCCAAAATATCTACCTTTATTTAGGTCCAACTCTTCATCCTCCTCTTCTTTCTTCTCAGGTTGGCTGTCATTTGTTTCGGATGCCACCCACTGGATCTCTCCTGATGTCTCTTGCCACTCTCCGCTTTGGTCTAGTGCCGGTTTGGGGGCCTCACTGATGAGGTCGTCAGTCTTTGCCTCAGCCAGGATGGCAGCACGCTCCCTCTCAAGGAAGAGCTGGGATTCCAGGGGAAATAAACAGATGTGAACTCCAAACACAAGCCAAAAAACAGGAGCCAAGTAACACAGCAAATTTTTCATAATTCAAAGGGAATAAAAGAGTGGCAGTTTAGCTTGACAGCAAAGGTATTTCATCTTGGCAAAGTTAGGAAGCAAATAGGCATGCCAAATACTGTGAAACTAGCCTGTAATACTTGGGCATGAAAAGTAATTTTGAGGTTAATTGCCATTTTTTTCTTTAAAAGTTTCCAGACTTTTTGAAAATCTGCAAGAACTCTGGCTGAAGTGACATTGATTAAAAAAGAAAAACCTAAATAAAAACCTAATTTTGAAATTTTAATCCACAAACAAGCAAGCATTTGCTTACACTTGCTTATTACTTAATACTGTGAGCAAACAGAGGTGTGCATTTAAAGCAGTGAAGAGATATTTAACACTCCCGAGAAAGATGTGTTACCAGGTAAATGAGTGGTTCACGAGTTCTATGATACAGACAAAAGAAATTGCAACACAACACCCAATCACTGTGTTTCTGCAAATTAAGAATAGTAAAGATGTATTCAGCTCTTTAAACTGTATTAAACTATTGTTTTGTGGGGGTTTGTTTTGTTTTTTTAAACAAAAAGACAAAAGAGAGCCACATCCAGTGACTGCTAAAATATTGATGTATGAGTTCTGGCACAGTTCCTACCTTCACCAGGGCAGCCAAAGCACCGCAGGACTTGGGCTTGTCAGCCGTATCTGCCTGAGTCTCAGCTGACTCTGCCAATGTGTCAGATTGCGTTGGGTCAGCAGGCTGCATGAGGCTGTCTTCCAGACAGGTGTCGTCGACATTGTACTCCATGTCCACCAGACAGTGGCGGTTTCTGGAGCTGTACTCCACAAGGTTAATTAGTAGACCCAGACCCTGGTATACACCACAGAATACACAAATGAGACATTCACATACATACATAAACTTACCAAACAGCGTGTCAGCAACTGTGCCGTTGCGAAGATGTTTTCTGTTGTTGAAGAAAACCTTACCAGCACACGCACGTCAAATCGCTGCTCCTGGGGGATGTAGCGTGGGACTTGAAGGACACAATTTAGAGCAGTCACTATTAGCTGATCCTGTTCACCCGTCTTAGTGCTTCCCCACTCTGTAGACAAAAATAACCTTATTATTAACCTCTGCTCACACATGTCAACATGATTCCCTGCTAAGCACCTGAATATTATAGCTCACGGTACAGACTATAATCATACAAGATACAACTGAATTCTAGCTGACCACATTAACACGAATATATTCATTTTGTACAGAAGTACACAATGAGCCATTTCATCTTTGTATATTTATAGAACTACAATCTACAGTAAAGTACAAACTACAGTAAATTGAGTTTTTGCAGTTTTCCATAAATAGTATAAGAAAAGAAAAAGGAATGAGAATACCATTGTCATGGGTAAGGTTGAGCAGCACTCCAATAACAGCCCTCATACAGTCCTCCACCGCCTTTCCCACATTTGTGAAGCTGCAGTGAGGCAGTGCAGCAGCCGATGAAGACAGAGAGGTGTTGTTTAATGCCCTGCTGTACCGCTGGATCATATCCTCACAGTATCGCAAAGCTCTGATAAAAGTAAGAAAAAGATATTGTTGACAGAAAGTAAAAAGTGACATAACAGAAATAAAGAAAAATATTAAAGTGCAGAGTGGAAAGATAATCCTAAATGCAGAAAGTGCAACGAGCTTGAGCACAATTGATCTTCGATATACTGTGTTCATGAATGCAAACTAAGAAGAATCCATGGTTAAAACTAAGATCTAACTTTTGCTATCAATTTTAGAAACCACAGACCTGGTTATCGGTGTGGTTACCTTTATCCAAATCTATTATCCTAGGATTATTTTTATTTGCCCTAATGTTGTTTTTGATGGGCATGAGAAGCTTTAGAATTGCCCCGAGGTGATGAGTAAAATGATCTTACAAAAAGTAAAAGAGACAAAGTGAAAAGGACCTGTTGTCACGATAGCCACTGTGTCCCAGTATGTCTGTAGACAGTCAATAATAGCTGTAAGCAGTAGCTGGTGCTCACCTGGCAGAGGAGACAATAAGCTGAGAGTCTTTGTAGGCAATCAAGTAACTCTGATTTTCAGGGTTCTGCACTGTAACCTGTTGGCAGGAGATGAAAGAGAAATGAAATCAATAGAGGGAAAAAGTACACCAAGAACCTTGAAAACAAGACAAGAAACAGAAAATTAAGGGAGACCCTTTATGTTTAGCTCGGAAAGCTGAATGGCATTTTAAGATATAGCTGATAAAGACACATTCAGTGCTTTAAGCAGAGGCATTTAATCGGGTAACAAAAGTCACCAGCCAATTCACAGCTTAGTACTCAATTACTGTTGTCCTTGAGGCTCACTCTAGTGTGACTTTGGTGCAAGAGAGAATCCAACTTGACAGAACTGTACTTACACTTTCAAGCACTCTCAGACACCTCTCAGCCCCCCATAAAGATGCTACAAGGTTCTCCTTGTCATCCTCTTGGCTCAGGTTGTCAACACACTCTTTCACTGTGGCAATGCAACACACACGACATGTGGCAATTACAAACCGTGACAAACAAAATCGTTGCATAGGTATACACATATGCACTGTACAGCATGGCTTTGAGCACATTAGTATCCAACACCCACCTTTGTCAACAATATGGTCCAGGCCTCCCAGTAGCCGGAGCTCCTCTTTGAACCAATCACCAGCTCTCTTGGAGGTTAACGACAGAAGTGTCTCCATGGCAAGGTGCCCTGTCTGCAGGGATAGAGGACAGAAGCATGTTTAAAAAAAACATCACTGGAATTTTATGTATGCTTGTATTACAAACCCACTATTGTAAACGTCGTCTACACTAAAACACACATTTTTCCCCCTAATTAAGCTTGATAAGAAGAAATATAAACCAGTTCACCAAGAAAACATTACTAGGTAGTAAAGCATATGTAATATTAATGCTGTCATTTTATCAAATCAGCAACTTTTCTGACTGAAATATTGTCGATCAGTTGTGACAGGTCAAAACTGACAGTTGAGCTGCAGTAAGATTAGTGTATTTGCATGCAGAAGGGGGTGCATACAAAGAGGTCAGACTGACAGATTATATTTTTATGAAAAACCTTTCCATTAAAGTAGTTTAAAAATGTACATAGTGTTGCTTATTCAATAAATATATGAACAAGAGACTGTGGTTACTGATTAAATCCAAGATTCACCAGTTATGTGATGATGTTATGATTTCTTTATTGATGGACAACCTACCGTGATGTTTTCTAAGTCAAGGTGCTTGTTGTGCACAGTCTCGCACAATTTCCTGATCTTCTCTTTGACCTTTGCCATCTCCTTTGCTGTGAGCTGATCCTGGTGACCCGAGTAGTCCTGGTCTAGTTCCAGCAGCTTGATCATTAGCTCCAGACATGCCCTGTCCAGATCCATGTTAAGACGATCCCGGCTCAAAATGTACATCAGTGCAGCCGTGCACAGAGCGAGGTTCTGATAAAATGACAGATCAGGTTTTACAAAGGGGTGCAGGCAGTGTAGATCATATGGAGAAAGCTCTGGATCAGTAAGAAAAAGCTTATTGTGTGTCACTTTCACTACATAGTTCTCAAAATTACAAAATTTATACTTAGATATATATAAAAACAACATGAGTTGATTCAAAGTGCTATTCAGTCAAGGATTACAACCAGAATACAAAGAATATGTTAAAAACAGCACCAAGAGAAAAACAGAAAATACACACAAAAGAAATAAATAAAATAAAGATTAAGACAAACTGACATCAAAAAAGGTCCATCCGGTCACAAATACTGCCATATCATAAAAACACAATACCCACCACAAGCTCTTCGCTTATTTAAAGGAAAGACTAATATATTTTAAGACACTACATTAACAACAGAAAACCTACTTGTTGAGCAAAAAATAAAATCACAAACCTATTTATACGTGTGCATATCTAACCCTGGGACGTCATTTGAATAACTACTGAGGTCTCCTTGCACTCTTCTTGCATTTTGATAATTTAATACCGAAGAAACAGGGCTCGTGATTCAACACTTCATCTTAGATGGAAAAGTAATGGTTCATGTCACAAAATAAATTGTGAAAGCACAAGTTATTCAAACATTGTATTACCATCTGTCAAAACTTCAAGGGAGATGATAGAAAGAGATTGTGGCAGGAGGTGACAAAAAAATAATTAATTAAAAACAAAACTTTGACTGACGGGGTGTTGTGGAGCATCGTTGAGCATTTTGAAGACCTGTGCGACTTTTCCTCTTGCCCTCAGGTGCATCCTGAAACTGGGCATGGCACACCGTGTGGCCAGGCTGATTATACTGGAGAAATGAGGGAGGAAAGTGGAGAATAGAGGGAATGTTAAAGATAGATTTATGACAATGAAATCAGCCTACTTTTAAATTAAAATGTCACATATGGCAAACTAAAGAAATATAGGGAACGATTTAAAGACTAAGGCTTCAATGTTGCCCATGCTATGCATCAATCCAATGTTCTAATGGTATAAAACAACAACAGCCTGACTTTGGCTTTCTGCTGATGCACAGCATGGATCCAATGCAAGCATTAAATTATTAAGCTGTTTTTCTCAGTGTGAGAAAGAGACTGGGAATGATTCTTTTATGTGTAAGGAAATGTCAGTGTTGACTTAAACATCACCTTTCTAATTCTGTAACTTCATATATCACAAATAAAAAAAAATGTCCAATTTATTCAATAGGTAGCAATAAGTAAAAACAAATAAATACAAAAAAAGACTATAGGACAAAAAAAAAATAATACAATGTAAAACTAATTTAGTTTATTATTATAGTTCATTATAATTTTATCATCATCATCATCATCTCAACTCATTATGACAGTTATTTGAAGCTCTTCAGTCATTACTTGACCAGTTTGATGTACAACATTGTAAACATACAGTGAAAACTTGTTGGTGTCCCAGGTGTGAGACACCTTCAGAAGTGCTAATGTTTTACATATATTAGCCCAGACATAATGTAAATATAGGATTGGGTGTGGTGTATAGCCACACATTAACTACATGTACTGCATTTCTAGTTTAAATTATGAATAAAATCACTTAAATCCTATGAAAACATTGGATAAGAAGTGTGATTTACATCATAGTTTCAATGTTTTAACTAAATGTGATTTTGTTATCACATTTAGTTAATCAGTGACACATGATCAATAATTATTTTTTCATGGTTTCAATGAGAGAGCAATGCTGTGAAAATGAACGCAGAACAATATTAGTTAAATCTTGGATATTTTTTTTTATTATTCATAAACGCTGCAAGTGAAAAATCACAATTGGAAGTAAAATGTGATTAACAGGCTGAGGCACAACGGTGGAAGGGAGGCGAGCAAATGCAAAGGGACAGAAATGATTGAGAACTTTAGCTACACATGAAGTCTCTGGGCTGGAGTGCAATTCAATTAAAATTGATCATCTGTGCTTGTTTTTAAAGTATTAACTCTGCGTTTTCTACCTCCTACTACTTTGTTGCAAGAATAATAACTTTATGAATTTTGGTTTTAGGTACTTTTATGAAATATTAACTGGCATATGCTTGTACCAGTCACTGAACTTTGTAAACTAAGTAACATTTAGCAAGTCACAACAAAGAAATTAAAATCAGACCAAATATAGAAATGTTCCTCTACAACACAACAAAGAAAAATTCCCAGCTGGTTATTAAACTTACCTAAGGCATCTTGTGTTGAGCGGCTGACTACTCTTGAGCCCCGTCTCCAGGTACTCAAAATCATCTGTGAACTCTTGATTCTCTCCAAACTCCACCACATCGTTGAAGTGTTTCACATGCTGCACCACAGTATACAGCTGGTAGAAGGGAAATGGGGTTAATTGTAGCTAATTGAGAAGCACTGCATCTGTCCAGACCCTCAAATTGCTCACACACACACACACACACACACACACACACACACACACACACACACACACACACACACACACAGCAAATTGCTCACATTTCTAAATTCCTCTATTGGTTTCACAGCCAGCAAAAGCTTCAGGTCAGTATGATCAGCAGTTGACACTGTATGTATATCTATATCAGCAGTCACACTGTGAGGGGGCTCAGCACGACACAGGATGGAGGACCTGGGTTTATAACAGAATCAGTGTGTGGTGACAGCTTAGTGTAGCTGAAGCCATTTAACCTCAGGGGATCTGTGGCTAACAGCCTGATCTGGGGCCAGAAGGCCCATCTGTAAATGACACAAGCTGTATGGGAGTAGCACTGGCACACATCAAATGAATGCCAACCCTTCACTGGCTGAGTGTTTAAAAAGGAAGGGGGAAAAGGGGGGGCTAGGGGTAATTCATACTGGCAAGCAAACAAAATGTGAAGTAAAAACTGATCAGAAAGATTTATCTAACAACTGCTGTTACTCAGCAAATCTGTGTAACCTGGACTCACCTCCTTGTCTTCTTTTCTGCATTTGAGTGCTGTGACAATATCCTGGTTGAGTCGTGTGGGGATGGTCTCTGACTTAATGACTTTGGGTGGCGGTGGAGGAGCTTTGAACAAGCCGTCATCTTTATGGGAGTTGCTGTCCTTGCTGCTGCTCGATAAAATAGCCTAAGGACAAAAAAGAAGCTGAGAAACGGGGCTCATACCAAAGCAACAAAATCTGTTTAATGACATGTCCACAAGATTTACCACAGCTGAACAGTCTGTTAACCACACAAGTCTTTAATAAGTGCTGTTAACAGATGTCAGACGAGGTAGTGCAAAGTTAACAATAACTTTTAAATCCCAGTCGCCAGACTCTGATTAGCTAGTCTCTAAACAAACATTATTTCCATTGGGGTAATTCAATACAAAACATACAAGCAAACTTCACTTGCCTGGAAAAGTAATTTCACTTGAACAGCAATACTAATTAGAGCAATTAATACAGAAATTGTTGACTACTAAGAGACCAGTAAACAGTATCCTAATATGTGGACATTAAGAACACAAACACAAATAAATGGCGCTAGTTAATAGCATTTGCTTTACATAATAACCCAGTAATAGTGTTTACCTTCTCTGTGCAAAATGAATGTATACACCCTAATGAGAACTTTAAACATACAAATACACTCTTTACTCACAATGACAGATTTACATTTTTGTTCCAGTTCCTGACAAGTAAACCAAGCAGTAACCTTGCTGAAAAATTAAGACGAGGGAAAAAACTGTGGCTTCTCTTATAGGAATTTGAGTTTGGCTCCAAAATTAATCAATGTGTGATTGACTTGTGGTATTTTAAAATGCCTAGCTTCAGCCATGAAAAGAACACCTGGCACAAAGAACAGATTTAGTCTACATAGCCAACTTCCTCCCCCATAACATCTGATTTTTTAATAGCTCACATTGACATTTTATTATAGCTTAAAACTGAAAGGCGTGCTAACATTAGCTACAGTGGATTTTGTGCAATACTTTACCTTCAGTACTCAACTGGACTAACTTTTGAAGCATTTTTAATGTACTTATCTGATGAGTAATATGGCTTGCCAGGTGGCACAGCCCATCCGAAAAGTTTGATATTCAGTTTCAGTGACTGAAATTCAAGTATTATAATTCTGTTAATAAGCAGATACCCGTGTTTGTGCTTTGCTAGGATCAGCTGATGATTTAGCACCCCACCAACTGGCCTAAATATGGTCTCTACATCAACAAAGTCAACATACCAGCAGCTAAAACACAAATATTATGGCTTCAAAATGCAGGTTTAAGAAGCTAATAGATGATGCCACATTCTGTCCATCTTTTACTAACAGTCTACAGTCTACAGGAAAAATACAGTATCTTACCGGAGCAGTCTGAGATCGAGAGACTGGAGGCACAGGCATTTCTTCAGGTTCGGGCTGGTTCCAGTGGCGAGCATTGTACACAGCTTTAGCAGGAGACTGAAACACAGCAAGAACTTAAAAATTAGTCAGTTAACTAAACGGATACACATATTTAGTGATTACTAACAGCTGGCATAAGAACATACTGATGGTGCTTTCAGATTGGTGCATTTCAGTGATGACAGTTTAAAAAAAATAAATTAAAAAAATTACAACAACAACCTATATGCCAATATTTTATTCTCTAAAGAATACCACGTTCTAGCTGTAAATGAGCAGAACTGAACCCATAAACACTGCATGCTGAATTCATGTTGATAGACTAAGACAACAGCAGCCTCAGTGTAGAACACAACAGTCCCCAAGCAGCACAAAACATTTCCTGAAAATGACAGATTGTGAAACTCAATTATATCGTACAAAGACAATGTAGGAAGTTTTGCTGAGGAAGTAGAGAGAGTAACTACACAGAATTAGTAAGACAGACTACAAATAACCCAAAGCCACTTCAAAACATGATCTAGATAAAGAGAGAAAATGTGGGCATTACACAAAACAGCACAGCATTACAAATCAAAGCAGAGTTATGAGAAAATATGTGCCTGATGAAGAGGTAATATCCAAATCCCCTTCAAAGTGGAAACCCATGCATGCTACTGAACGCACATTTATGGGATTCAAATGAGACTGCTGTCAAAAGTTATTCCCTGGGCATCACAGTTCAATGCCTTAAGTCTCTGACTGTAGTTCTAACCTGCATCACTGCTGAATCACAGAATTGGATTACATAAAATGACAACCATATAAATTTAGTTTTCAGTCGAGCCTCTTACCCGCCCACTTGCTCTATTTTTCTCTGATGCTCTCCTCACTCTCGTTATCTCAGGCTATTTTCAGACAAGCTGGGCATTCTGTTATGTAAATGTCATCTAAACATCAATAAGCCAAGACGTGTCAGACCTGCTTTAAACCCTGGTCAGGAGTAAGGTCATCAAAAGTGCTAGATGACTTGTACTGAGACACTTAGATTGATCAGACTGCAGTTAAAAGGTTTGTGCCTATCCCTCATCTATGCAGTTAAAAAAAAAAAAAGTCTCATGGGCAAATATTCAAAGACACTGGATGGCACAGGACAAAGAAAACATTTGGTTGAAAGCGAGCCAAGAAACACACGGCCAATTTTAAAACATGCTCAAATACCTTTTTGGGTCCACTGAAAATCTTTTTCAGTCCACTGCCAACGTCCTTGGATTTGTCACTTGGCTTCCCTGAGCGTGCTTTCTGGCCCTCGGTGCCACCAGGACTTGAGTCATCGGAAAAGTCAAAGGCATCTGCTGGATAAACCAGATTGTTGATGATTAAAAGGAAAAAAAGCATGAGTTTGTAAATAGGTGGAATATTAACCAAAGTGGGTCATCCAAGCGCTTCTAATTTAAAGAGAGGTTTGAAGTTTATGTCGTTACATTGGATCATGCAATAAAATGACAATTACACCAACACCAGATCTGTTTTTAAGGACTGCTTTTACCTGTATTACTGCTAGCATGACTGTCTTGAGAGTCACTGGTATGAGGGCTATCCACGCTGGAGCTCAAAGCAGCTAAGGCTGCGGCTGCCTTCCTGGCCTTCTTTTCTTTGGCTTGGGAGCTCTCATCATCACTGTCACTCTCACTCAGGTCATCAAAGCCAAAGTACTTGATCTTGTAGCTACTCTTGCCAGCTTCTGAACCCTCCTCCCCCTCCTGGTCCTCTTTGTCCTCAAAGCCAAAGAACTCTAGCTTGGTCTCGGTCTTGGTCTTCTTGGTCTTTGTCTGTGTGGGTCTGAACCTACAAACAAGAAGAATATTTTTTTTTAGATTATTTTGTTTTGAAGTATTCTGCCTTATGGGATTTTTCAAAGGAGATAGAAACTGAAGCAGGACAAAGAAAAAACTCTTTTGTAGAAACAAAGAAAAGAAAATGGGATTTCAAAGTGGGTGCCTAAAATTACTTAGCTGAGTGAATAGAAAGCTTTTTTGTCAATAAATGTTACTGTTTAGAGACATCTAAAAAACTGTAGACTTTACAATATAGAACAAACACTAATGCACGTTTCTCCAAATAGTTGATGTCAATAGTTTAGTTTAAAAATAATTCTTATCAAGTTAATTCCGTATAAATGGCTGACATGAGATGAGATCACACACACAATGACACAGACAGAGCACATTTTTGCCACCATCTGCCATTTTGACTTGTTAGAGGGGATTTAACATTAATCTAACAAACTAAAGGTTCACTCCCTGCTGCCTCTCTTGCCACTGGTGATTCAATCTGACCTGCCTCTCAAAAGCAATGAAATGAAAGCGCAAGAACATATCAAACTTCAAAGTATGACCCGAAACTTTGAATTTTAAAGCCAGGGACACATCAAGGTAAAGCACATTCTTTCAGAGCAAAAGTCTGGCCAATACTGTATAACAATACGATACATGAAAGCATAATCTAAGTGCCAATGAAATCCTTATTAAACCTGAACTTCAGTAGCGTCTGCACTTTGTTCCTCAGAATATGAATGAATGACATTTTTATAAGACCCAGTACTAGTGAGAGATGAAGCAAAGTGTGTATGAGCACACAATGAAGTAAGATATAAGGTAGTATGTATTATTATATTTAAATTACTAACCTACCACATGATGGCTGCCTTATGGTATCGTGTATACACGGTAATAAATATTTAACCTGAAAATATTTACCACAAAAACAAAATCTTGAATGACACAAGAAAATATACTCAAGTCACCCATCCATGTAATTAACAATGGTGGATGGGCTACAATTGTTTAAATAAGAATTCAGAACATAGTATTTTGAGAATTCTCCCTGCAATGTGGCTTTTAAGACACAGAACTATCAGCCTTACCTAGTAGGTTTGGGTGGTGGTGCATCTGATTTCTTCTTCATCTGCCCTGCTTCTCCAAGGTCAGCTGGGGGAGCGAGGCTGACCAGTTCATCAATGCTCCGCTCCATTGAGTCCTGGATGGTGACATTGCACACTGACAGGCAGGAAGGGTGGAGAACCGTGTAGTCCCGTACCCTCCCACCACCCCTTCCCACAGGCTTGGCTGCTGTTTTAGCACTGGCAGCAGTACTACTTGCACCAGCAGAAAGGGCACTGTTGGGCTTATCTTGGGCACTTTCACCATCAGTGGACTTGTTGCTGTTACTTTCTGCAAGTTCAGACGATGATTTGTCAGGACGGCCTGGCCGCTGGTATTTTTTGCAATTTGAGGCCCTCAGGGTAAATGGGGAAGGGGGAATGTTGTCCACTGGCTCTGGTGGGGCCTCCGCTGAAGGCTCCACCTCTGCACCTTTCATTTCATCTGACAGCAAGCCATCACAAGAAGATGAGGATTGGAAGTCCCTGCTACCACCTGGCACATCAGTGAACAGTTTAACGGATGTGTCTATATTAGGAGAGGAGGAGGTGGACCTCTGGGAGAAGTTCTGATCATCAGAGAGGACTGTGCTTGACAAAGAGGTCCCCCATGCAGGTTTCTGGCTGCTCTGCGATTCACTTTTGTACCACGGCTGGTTATTTTTACCTACTTTCTCCTCTGTTTTTTGTTTGCCTTTGAACAAAAGAGAAGATAAATGCAGGTTTGTTTAAACAAAAGACAGGAACTACTATGCTTCTATAATAGTTAGAAATCACTGTAAAACTTAAATAAGCAGGTTAAAATAAATTTGGATAAGGAGTTAAAAAAAAAATGCATGGAAAAACTGAAAACTTACTCGTGAATGTGGCTGTTGAACATGCAGAGGACTGTGCATAAGTCACAACAGCGGCTGTCCCAGTGCTTTGCACTGTGGTGGTCTTCGTCACCTCCCCTTCAGCAACTTTTGCCTGCGACACGTTGTGGGAGGTTACAGTCTTGGACTCTTCATCACTGTCAAAGCCAAACGGGTCTTCCTCACTATCACTGTCCTCAAGCCTGGGCCTTTTGGGGACCTCAGAAACGTCAGGTTTTAACAAAGGCCGTTTGGCTCCGAGCTGAGCCTTGTAGGTGGTCTCCCCCCATTTGGTGGTCAGAGTGGGCTTTTTATTGGAAAAGACCTCCTCAAATTTCGAGTTAGCCTCCCCACCTTTGCGGTTGTACGTTTTGCCGAATCTGGATGTCATGTTGGCTGCTCTATGTTACATATTCCCTGTGAACAGCAGCAGAAACAATAAAACATTTACTATACCAAAATATCATCAAGAACATTATAATCTGCGCACTTAAATTGATACGAACGACTTAGCAAAGGAGTGTTTAAAAAAAACATAAAACAAAAACAGGCTGTAATCGTCATGAGTGGTTTGGGGAATGTTATTTATATTAATCCGGCTAAGTTATGTTTCAGCTGTTGGCTGGTAGCGCACAAAGTTAGCATAGCTAGCTCAAGCGGTATAGCTTTCCAAACCATCATCGGTAAATGTGAGCAACACGACAGAAAGCTTGAATGATTTAGAGCAACTTTAATACAATTTGAAACTCTTTACCTATCAGCACATACTTACAGGACAGCTAAGTACTGTGTTAACTCTAGCTCAGTCAGCCCCTGTTTGTAAAGTTAACTACTATAAAGTTAGCCACTAGCCATTAGCTTAACATGGCTAACTATGCTAACGTAAGTCTGTTTACATTTCTCACCTGGCTGCCTCAAATGTCAGAAACCTTGCGTTTGAAACAAGTTTTAGTCTTTTGACGTAATGGTCTGAATGGAAATACTATGGTGCAGAAATCGTCCGTAATTACAAATGAGTAATAATGCAGTGTTACCTTTTAACTCCAGCGAAAGGCTAACCGTCCGCTTGTTTTTTAGCCAGCCGGCTAGGCCTGATTTCCCACTCGCACACAAATCAAGCGGGTAAAGTCCGCTCAGCAGAGTACAAACACCATTACAAAGACATCTCTATTCCGAATATGTCCACGCAGCGATGCTTATCAACACATAAATGCGTACTTAACGCATCGGTGCCTGTAGCAGTCTATATATGGTAGATAATCCGGACTTTTTGCATTTTGTAGTGCTACGGACGGCCATTAAAATATCCCCTCCCTCCTCGATGCTTGGCAAGACCCTCAAGTAAAGGGCTGGTCGAAGGCAATCGACCAACCAGCAACAGGAAAGGTTTCCTGTGCGTTGAGACTTTGTGAGCAAACGCGACTTCGATTGGTTTAAAAATTAAACCAAAACAAACAATAGGGGGCGCAAGAGGACCACATTAGTTGGGTTGAACTTGAAGACGTGCCAAAGAGAAGCTAAATGAACGGCCGTGATCGGCATTAGGTCTATCCATAGACCTTCTTTGGGAAAGAACAGACGCAATATTAAAAAATGGTCACTCAATATTTGCATCGGTCCAATCAATTTATACATTTTTGAACAGCTTAAAGGGTCTAATTTCCGAATCTAATCTTCTTCTATTGAAACCCTTTACACATGCAATACTGTGTAAATTCCACCTCTCATTATATTTGTGTGTTTTTCCATGCAAGTATGTTTTACTACATTAGCAGTGAGTTTGGATTGTTTTTATGCTGCAAAATTAAACAGTTATTTTTCATTAAATAGATGCTTTTCAGTATTGCAAGGCAGGTCTGCATTCATATTGTGATATATTTTGACAAGATCATTAACACCGCCGGGTTGCTGTGTCTGGTCTTTGCATATATATTGTTTCCTATTTCTTAAGGACATGACTTTCAGTTACTGTTCATTTAATGTAGGCAGTTTTTAGGCCAGCCATTTCTTTTGTCCTCCACTTATCCAGCTTTATCAATTTTTTAGGACACCCTTGACACCATGTTGAGGTATGCAAAGTTTTCAGCAAATAGATCTTTGAAAATGAACGTTATGGTTCAAAAATACAGTTTTATGTCTGTTGAACTGTGTTATTTTTCACAATTTTTAAAGGTTCTATAAAAAAAAGGGAAACAAAAGATGTTTTTGTGACCCGTTGCTCGTAACAAAATGCCCAAAGTTACAGTTTAAAATTATGTCTTGGCAAAATTGTCTAATATATGAAGATAAACACTGGCTGTTCCCTGCCCTTTTATGTTTGAAAGACCTTCAAATAGCCTGAAGAACTCATGAAGAAAAGAGTAGTGGCTTGAGACTTTTGCACAGCACTGCTGAGCCTTTTTAATTTTATTTTTTGGACCCAAATGTAAAAGTTCGTTGTGTTGAGGATGTGTTTTAATGGGGCCACTTGCAATTATGTCTCAAACAAAAAGGCACATGATGGCTACACACACACTTAGATTTAAGTGAGAAAATTAAAAAATATATATTTGAAAGAGCCAATGCTTTAATCCAGGAAAAACAATCTTCTGTAATTACTTCAAATTAGGATACTTAAGGTAATACATCCAAACAGGAAGAATTCCAATTTTCACAGTATTTTTATCTTGATTTTCATATCAGACACATGGAAGAGTGTTATGTTACTTAAATTCTTCTAGTTGTTTTCTTAGCATAACATAATATCTTACACGATCAATATAAATGTTGTTGTATGCTGCCAAATCTGATTGTTCTATACCCAGTGGAGTGAATTTTTAAACACATCCAACATACTGTAAACAGAAATCATGTATATATCACCCACGCTGGCACTAGCCTGGGGCACAGATGGTGTCAAATGAATACATAGTTCGTTCCAACAGCCTGGGTCTTCAGGGCCAAGTGGTCCCAACTGTATCAACACTGAACTGAGCATTACTCATCCAGAACAAACCTCACAACATCTCCTTAAAAGCATGAAAATCTTTTGTGGAAATGGCTGGCCTCAGTTCAGAAACAGCAAGACACTAATTTCCCACAGGATCCGCCTGAAATGTTTGAATTTCAGATGGATCCCACCCATTTCACTTAATGAAAAAAGTAAATAACACAAATAGTGTTAATATAATATTGTGATTGGGAAACAGCTGTCACACTAATTAATCTCCTGATATAAACTACAAACTGTCAACATAATACACTGACATATTTTTTAGTTTATCGGAGGATTCATAGACCACAATTAGCCAAATGTTTAGTCACTTTGTTTCCCGTGATTATTTTTGTAACATTTGGACAAACATAACATGGTTGATCATTAAGAGGCTGATAGATGAAACCTAATTACAGTTAAACATACAAACATTTGTATGTATTTGGGCCAGAAAAGAGACAGTCAGTCCACATCAAAAGCCCAGAGGTGGTGAGGTAATACGACCATGTTTGACTGATGGTTCTGAGCTCAGGTCTTGGCAATCTGGCAGTCATGACTTCATTAACGAGCAAACTTTACAGCTCATTCAAATGCACCGTATGTATTCTGTAACCTCTGGATGTTTTGCAGTCTTGGAGCAAGTGAGTCACAAACCTGTGGCATCGCCAAGTGAAATGCAGACATTGAATTTCAATGCTGAGTGTAACATCTGTCCAAAATGTTCACAGCAAAGTTGGATTTTTAAACTAGAACGACAGACTGCAACACTGAGACAAATCCATGAGATGGCAGCAACACTGCTTAGTGCTTATAAATGTAGTATATGTCATTATCAAATGTATTAAAATGTCCATTATGTCATTTAAATAATGTTTAATTACGTTATACACCTTTGGGCTACTTGACATTTGAAAGGATGACTTTGTAATATAGCTTCCATGTGCTTTGTGTAAATGGAAAATTGGGCAGTTGGCGAGATAAAGCTCCACAAGCTATTGGACACATGGTCTGCAATTTAAAAGTAAAAACTAGGAAGCCGACCACTGCTTGACAAAATATGTTCCACTGTCATTTAGACTTACTCGTAAAGTTGTTGAAGTGCAATTTTATCTTCTAATACATGCAGCATAATAGACGGTGTGTTTGACTTTGTATTGTATAGCTTGAAGCTGCAGTTCTCATGAGGTTTACTTCACTATATGTGGTAAACAAATCTCCACCAAAACATTAAATGTATTTATGCGAGCCCCACATCTGTGACCACTGCATCATGGGTCGGATCTCAGTTTGGCTCGCACTCCTGTCTCTGAGGTCAGTCTGTGGAGACCCTGTCCCAACAATCACACCAGACCACTATCAAGCCCATATGAAGGCAATAAAAGCAAATTTAAACCAGATCCCAACACGCTCTATGTCCCTCTTTCTGTGTGCATATGCACGAGAGAAATTAGTTACTGATTACTTTTTTCAAGTAACTTGGCCAACACTGTTTATGTGTGTATTAAACTGAATGAAAGAGAGCTGGAAAGAGCATTTTTTTAAAAGGCAATAAGCAGAGTGTCAAACCAAATGGAGGTAGAAAACCTTTATTTTCTTCTCCAGTATACATCACATAAACAACAAAGTATTTCTACAGTACTTTAAAAAAAAGGGGGGGAGTTTAGAAAACAACAATTTTACAAATATGATTTGCTCAGCAAGTTGCTTAAAATTGCTTCAAATTTCAGTCAGCCTGACTGAGCAACAGTACATTAAAAAAACAACAACAACAACAAAACGAGTAAGCAGGTGAAAACACTATGCCAATGACTATTTTTTTAAGGTTTAAGAACACACAGTAGTAGCTTTGATCAAAGCATTAAAGTCTAAACATGAGAACACACAGGGAAAACAAAGTACAGCACTGCTTTTAAAGCATCCGTACAGTCATTCCTTTCAAGGCAATGCCAGAATTTTCCTGGATGTGAGGCACCACCGGCCTTTGGCCACAGGGAGAGGGTGCGTCAGTAAAAAACCCCTCCGATATAAGGTCCACTGGTGATAAGTAAAAGCTAGCTCCAGCAACTGTGGTGTGATTTCTGGAGGGTCAAGGGTCAATTTCAATGGGAACAACAGTGAGGATGGCGTCTTCATTGCCACGGCGCACAACCACTTTTAAGGTGTCATCTCTCTTGATGGCGGCGCTGACATCAGTTGCTGTTGAAATCCTGTGGCCGTTGATTGAGATGATGACATCATGCTCTTTGAGTCCAGCGCTGGAGGACAGAAGAAGAAAGGATGATTGAGGGGTTCATAAATGGAAAAACATGTGCGAATAGGATGATCTTTGTTTTCTGAGCCCGGCTATTCTAGTTGAGTTTTATGACATCAAGGCACAGTTTTAGCCTCTGAGGAGGTGTACAGATGTTTATCAAGTCCAGCTGTTCCATGTCACCTTCTATCACTGTATACACTATTTTTTTGTATGTTGACTAACAGAGCACAAAATACTGTAAAATCATAGGAACGTAGGAAATAAAAATGTCAGTCCACTGGTTTTATCCTATTGTTAATAAAACCCATACAAATCACTGAACTGATTGTTATTCTTTATTTCCACGTATATGAACTGAAGCTTATATTTGGTCATCCTCCATTGTGTTACATTTTAAGAAAATCTGTGATGTTTTTAAATGAATTAAGCTATTAAAGTAATCTGAATGATCAAATGAAATAAATGTTCATGGGTGTAGATGCCTTAACACATTAGTGGTTTAGTTTTATGACAATTTATACATCTTCTTATGTAATTTAACTATAGTTCCCTCTTTAGATTTCAGTGGAAAGAAATAATAGAGGTGAAATACTCTTCATTTTATATAGCCATAATCAGCTATTGGTAGGATTGTTTCCAGGTCTGTGAGCCTCTAAATCAACAAAAAATAAAAACACATTGACTAAAAGCACACTTCCACTGTAAAAAACAAACTAGTAAAATGGGGATCACGCACAGACTGAGGCAGTAACCAGCAGTGATATCAAAAGCAGACTCTTAAAACAACCGCTTAATCATAGCCACATGTAAACATAGACCACCACACCTTCACTTGCAACAGCATCAATTAACGGAGCTGAAACTGGGATTTCAGTGCACTCGGTCACCACAGAAACAATCCCTTCCCTACAGAAGAATCAAGATTCAACAGTCCATAAACCAACATAACACAGAGTGAGATCAAAAGTGAAAAAAGCAGAGCCTAGAAAAAACAAAACAGAGAATATAAAAGGAACCACAGAAATGTTATAATGCAAAAGGGTGGGTTATTTAAGCAATGAGTAAACACTGATGAAACCTTGTAGGACAGACCACTATATAGTGGGATGGGTGAGCAGGCGCAGGAAAACCACAGTTCAGCTACTAACCTCCCTGCATGAGGTTTGAAGGAAATAGCTGACCTCAGCGTCTCCCGCGCCCTACTCTGCTGGAGTTGTGGTGGTGGCTGATTGGAGTGGGCCGCAATTGTGGGAGGAGGGGGATATTTTAGAGGGCCAAGCACTCTAGACATGCTAGAGTGAGCCATTAATTCACATCCTAGTAGGACAGCTATGTAAGAAGCTCTGGGCATGTGTGCAACCTCTTGATGGTTAAACTAGGAAAAGAAAATTAAGAAAGGAAATGAAATATACTATCTATTTGCATTTCGAGAGGCGAGCAAGGGCTGCGTGGAGAGTGATGAGAGTCTTGTGTGAATTTAGTGCAGATGTATTGTATTACGAGCCAAAGACAATATCCCATAGCTAGAGTCAGATAGAACCTCCATTTGCACTTCACTGAGATCCATAAAGTTACAATCAAGTTAGCTTCTACAGAGCCAGTGTATTTGGAAACTTATAATATATTGCTTACATTGCAGCTGGTGTCTTTGCAATGACCTCCATAACATAAGCTCCCGAGGTGATGTCAGGGAAGTCGCGGAGTCGAGTCTTCAGCTCTTTGGCTAGCCTAATGGTAGGGGGAAAAAAGGAGAGAGTTAAACACAAAATTCTGCAATTCCCTGTGACCTGGGTATAATACAATGTTTCATTTATTGCATTCTGGGGATTGAACACAATGGCTATGTACATAAAAGTGTGCAACTTACCCTGGAGTGAGAGTCATCATCCTCACACCAATATACTTCTTCTTTGCTTCTGTTCTCCCTAAGGCTGGACATAGAATATTCAGTTATCTTCTAACCTGGGTCTCTAGCTACAAACCAGAGACCAAACAGCACTTTTCTGTGTTGGAGTCTGCAGTTTCATTGCCCAAAGGCAGTGCTTTAGTAAAGGAATATGACCAGGGGAATCATCATCATTTTTTCAAGCATTCAATGGGATGTGCACTGTGAATTCAGCTCGACCTCGAGGCTAAGACTGTCAAGTTGGAGTTATACTGCAACATCCTGGGGCCTCAGAGGGGAAACAAAGTGGCAGGGACTTTCCCAAAACTGTAGCATATGCACTTTATTGAAAAGACAGCACGTTTTCAGAAGGACTGAGACAATCTTCACCTTTCACCAGCCCTACTTGAGCCATATTTAGCTCCCAGTGTCTTTGTCCCTTTCATCCAACTAGAAAGTTCACTGTTTTTGACAAAGTGAGGGACAGCCAGCATACATTACAAGTGAGTGTCACAACAGGACTTCTAGAGAGCGATTCAAACGTAGCCGAATCTGTGAACAAACTCAAAGGGTATAAAGAAAATAAGAAATGCAGGTTTTGCGCTGTGAAATATGTTTCGAATCTTTGTTTGAGATCCTTTTCTCAGTACATCATTTAGAAAACCCGTGAGTAGCTTTCTGTTCTGGTTCACTGGTTTTACTTAGCGGAGGCATTAGTCATTTGTGTAACAAACAATTACATGAACTCACTTGTCCACCTCAGAATTGGTTCAGGGTATTGCATTCTCAAGGCAGTGGCCTCAGAACAGCATATGCTCAATACTGTCATCAGTGCCACCATGCTGCACCTGTGACCAAGGCAGGGATGCTGGCATGGTGGATGCTGGCATGCATGTCTGAGTTATTGCTGCAGCCTTGCATCTCCATATGAGCATCAACTCTGATCTGATTGGTCTTTCTGGAAATCTGGACAGAGATGCTGAGATAAGCTGTCCACCCTGCTAGTAGAACAATAGTAGAACAATGTCTGACACTGACACAGTAGTGCAGGACTTTCTGGATCAGGAGGATATTCATGCACTTTCTTGGCAAGCATTTAGTCCTGATATGTCTCCTACTAAACATGTCTGAGACAGGCTGGGTCTTCATGTCCACTGCACAGCTGCAGGCTGCACACATCTGGGAAAGGTGAACAATTTCTCAACAGCTTATCAGGACACTTTTGCAGACAGGCAACTGCTGTCAGAGGAATAGCTGTATTATCAAATGTACTTACTATATATGTATTATAGTGCTGGTCTATAAAAGCTTTTGAAAACACCAACTTGCATTTTCCTTTTTGATTTGCATGGATCAGGTGAAGTCTGCTTTATATAGGTAAGTTTCTGAATTTCATTTCTTATGAAACACTACTCAATGAAAAGGGCAAAAAGCATAAAATAAAAACAAACAAACCAATATGCACTGGCACAGATTTTTCTTTTTAGTTTATTGTAATGTCAAAATTCTATTAGGTAATGCTGGGCATGGATTCCCATAGCTCTAAATACAGTGAACATATCGCAAGAGATCACACAAAGATGAAAACGAAAAAAACTCCTGAACTAGTGAGCTGAATTATAGCTCATTTAACTGAGATCACGGTCCAGCTCTCTTGGCTTCTATACTAAAAGTGATTGAAGAGAGCCAGTAAAATGAGAACATTAATAATGTGTCAGTGAGAGCTCATACCTCTGGACTGCCTGTCGTATGACTCGGCCAGGAACTGTCGAATCTTGTCCGAGGGTATGGCAAAGGAGATGCCCGCTGTCACCTTCAGCGTGTTAATCCCAATCACTTCACCATCCTATGCCAGTAAACCTCAACTCAGTGACTGTAAATGGTGAATTGTAGAAGCATAAAAACATATATATAATTCTGGCTTACCAGATTGACCAGAGGGCCTCCAGAGTTGCCGTACTGTGAACCAAAAAAGTAAATAACTTATCTGTAGTAATCCGAGAAAAGGAATTCAGTGAGAAATGACAATTCAGCTTTATTTATTTACATTGATGATGGCGTCAGTTTGAATGTAGTCCATGTCAGAGTTGCGAAGGCCTAGCTCTCTGCCCCCTCGCTGAGTAGTGCTAACAATTCCTGTAGTAACCGTATTCTGGAGGGAAAATGGGCTGCCAATAGCAACCACAAACTCTCCTGGCCTCAAATCTGACGAACGGCCCAGCAGAAGTACAGGAAGCTTGGTCTGCAAGTGGGACACAGAGGGTCAGTATGTTTATATTTGGAATCCAAGGCTTGCAGGTAAAGAAGCATTTCTTTAGGCTTGATAGGATAGGGTTTTCAGAGGCACAACATCAGCTCAACAGTATGGTCTGCAAACTAGTCCACTCATGTCTCAGAATAATTTGCATTCCTTTTAGTGATTACCTGACTTTATGGCCAAATATGCTGCAAAATCTAATAACACTTCCAGCACCTTTTGTGTTTTGTGCTAATATGCGTATTAGCATTTTAGCAGCAAACGTAAACATGCTAACGTTTCTGTCCAGTCTCTCTGCGCAATAAGCTTACTGTAGAGTTATAGTCTTGAACCCCCCTCCCCCCAACACACACACACACAGACACACACAGATATTTTTCTAGCCATTTGACAGACTCCATAAAAGGAAGAGGGAATCATTTGTGAAACTAGCATCTACATTTAGCCTACGCTACTCTGTCATCTGCTATTTTTAACTTTTATCTTTGCATCTTTTCAGTTACAAGTTATGCACAGAATAACAGAAAACAAAACAAGTGATGCAGTTAAACTTATTCAGCTATTCTTATACTAACTTAATGCATTCACTTTAAAACTAAACTTTATTTTCTTTGCTCCCTCGACATCCTCCAAGTAAAGTTGAGTAATATGTAAAAAAGTAACTGAAAGAAAATCACAAGTTCAGTGTTGCTTCATTTGCAGTCGCTCTGCTGAGCATTTCTCGTGATCAGGTGTTTTATAAGTGGACAGCAGAAAAAAAATTACAGCTAAACTGCAAGTCTTCTAAACATAACCCACTCAATGCAGCATGGTCCTGCTCCCACACAAAAACAATTACCACTTTAAAACCACAGGGGAAGGGAAATTTATGCCAAACAACCTACTGATAATCACGATAAAAGGCTTATTTGAAAGTGCAGCTCGGCTGAGAAATGATTCCTAATGGCAAATGTGTGCCAACAGACCACAGATGCTAGAAAATGGATAGATATTACAGTCAATAATGAGTACCTTAAGCTATGGTTGGGCCTGTTACACTGGGTGGTAGAAACCAGGCTGCTGAGTGCTTGCCTCAGACACCGAAAGAATATATTTATCCATCCACAGTGACAATTTCCTTCTTTATATGAAATCATCTCTGCTGGATAGTCATAGTCAAAGCATATGTAATGCCACATCCACATGGGTCTGTATACAGTTGTACCCAATAACCTGCAGGGAGGCAACTTTCTTAGAGGGGAAAAAAGTACCTATCCCAAGAGTTCCTCTTGTGAATCCATTTTGTTTACTCAGGGTTATAAATAGGTGGCGTAGGAGGGTGAATGTTCACAGGGACAGTAGCACATGTTAGTGTACACAGACAAAGGGATCATATAGGAAGCAATTTGCAAAATTATATCATTCCCAGCACTATATCGGGGATACCTAACTGCCAACGCAAGCAAACACTTTCTCTGCATCGATGCATGTTTGCAGATGTAGATTAAATAAAGACATGCGACTCATAAGCGAATTGAAATGCATTTAGAAAACTGAGCTGCAGGGAAAATGTCAGAGACAAATCTTTTCAGTGATACCGTGTTAAAGCTTTCTGTAAATGATCTCAGTGCTCATGGTGAAGTTATTATTAGAACATGACAAAGATAGTGAGGATGAGAACCTTTCAATCTTACCTCACATGCTGACAGAGACACAGATATAGAAATACAAACACAACTACTATAAATGTCGCAGGATTAGTTCCCAATTAGTGTGAGTTTGTTTCAACATTGTAGGGTTTGTTAAAAAAAATATGCAACACGCACAAGCTACATAACTGTACGCACAATCCAACAAACAAGCATTTGGCATGCACAGGCACATACAGAAAGACACCTGACACAGGAGTAGCAGTCTGTTTAATCACTCCAGCTCCCCCCTCCCGTCACACTCCATGTGAGATAAGAGTATAACCAGATGGAGACAGGAAGAAAAAGAAACACACACGCTGCGGAGAGAGAGAGAGGACATCAGGTGGATTCAAGTCCCTGCTAAGGCATTTACCCACTGCCTGTCACCATGATTCTGATAACAGTTAGTGATACTGGTTATGTCATGGTGACTGTTGCTACCTTACCACCTGATCTGACTTTATTAAATGCAAGCAGTTTGCGGCTTAAAAGTTTCTACCTAACCCTGGGTCTCACACACACTCATGCAAAAATCACACTGCATTCACAAAAAGCATGCACATGCAGGGCAAAATGCAGAAGTTGGCTGACATGCAAACAGCACCTAGGTGAGAGGGCAGAGCAAACACAGAGCGAGTGGACTCCCCAAAGTTTCGAGAGACCCCTAGCTTACATATCACTTACTAATTGTTACTAGTCAGCAATCTGGAATCACTTGTGGAAAATCATCTCGCCATGTGAGTCCGCCTCGTCTGACCACCCAAGTGACTCACCGTGCTATTTCAGATGCACTGGTACTTTACCCAAAGACACTATAGCCGCACTTAAAGGAAAGAGGCAAGGTGAAAGAAGGGAACAACAAACACCACAAACCACAGGAAGAGAGTCTGAGAATGTGAGACGAAAGAGTGAATCAAAGTTACGTCAGGAGCCAGCTTATTACCCCCCAAAAATATTTTTGGCTTAAGATGTAGAAAAAATAAAAACGACAGCCACGGTAACATTTATAGAACAAAGAAAAAAAAAAAAGTCTGATCTGATGAGGTCTATGAGGATAGATTTTTTTTTCTTCTTAAATAAAGGGCTCTTGTTTTGTTAGGCTTGAGACCGTTTCATTACCTCATATTATGGCAATGATGCCATAGATTATCCTCTCTTTTCTTGCCCAAAAGAATCTGTGTTTTCCACATTCTTGAGTGTTTAGATAATAGAGAGAAGTGGGCCATCAGATTGAGGAAAGGAGATTTAAACAGCTTTGTTTATGTTACCCAAAGAGGCAGCTGTAAGCGACACATTACTGAGAAAAATTCAAAGCTTTCGTAAAATCTGCTGTCGCCTAGCAGAGTATTTGTTCAACCGCCTGCACACAGAGAGGTTTGGCGAAAGGACAGTGAGAAGAATATGCTGGTTGATAACCCCACAGAAAGACTTGAAAATAGCTGTAGAGTTGCTATAAAGGGATTTATCAATGTTTGATGTTAAAGCTTGGGTCGTTTGGAGCCTCATTTAAAAGCCATTACACTAACTACCTTTTTATGACTAGACCAGGTGCAAACTTTAACTCCAGGCAAACTAAGATGGACTGAGGCTTAATAGTGTCTAAGGCACATGTGGACACACATATAATCACTCAGAGAAAGGGAGGAGGTCGCCTAAGCGTGAACCCTCACAAACTGAAGTCTGTAAATTAAATCCCACACACCTGGCACTGCTTAGATATACAGCTAGACCACGTCAAAATACACATATTCAGAAACAGAAGCTCGGGTTGGGTCTGTGCATGACCTGAACTGTATTAAAGCTCATATGCAGTCACATGGCCTCTAATGTTTCCTTCATGAAGGTGTCTTCAAAGCAAGGTGGGCATATTTTACAAAGCTCTACTTTACAAAATTCATAAGTACACTAAGGTATAGGGTTTTACTTGCTGAACTTGCCCTCGAGGTTGTGCTGATGCAGTTAAAAATGTGGCAGGATTCAGCACGCTCATGCAGTACATAACATCAAATAAGGGAATAAGAAGATCACGCTCAGGAGACTGAAAGAGGCTATGCTGACTGTGTTTGTGTGCTTGTGAGCCTGAGTGGTTGCACGGTGTACAATGGACTCGTTTACATGAATGATAGCACAAGTACAAAATAAGTAAATAGGTAATTACTTCACTATTTATAGTTTGAGAAAATTTTGTAGAAGTATGTAAAGTCACAATCAGCATATAAAATAGGCATTTCCCACTTTGTAGGTGTCCACGTCACACTGGGTGAAACCATATCCTTGCTGACACCAGTGCGGAAACCACTCCACTATAGGTTCCATATGTTCTTGAGAATAAGAGCAAACATATGTCTGCGAGATTTGGACACATTTCACTCTGTAGCATGAACGCTTACAAGCACTAAAGGACATCTCAGTTCTGGCTAGACACCGCAAAACTTCGAACTGTGCAAATCACAGTGATGAGAGCAGAGGAGGTCTAGTGGGTTTGTTTGCTCCAGGGGAGAGATCTGACAGCATAATATGGTTCATTTTGCTTTTACTTGAAGTATTTACATGGCGCTCAAGATGTTTCTGTTCTTTTAAGGCTGGTAGCTACTTTGGGGTTGAGCCAACCTCTTGGCCAGTATGTGCTGGAATATGCCATACTTGTGCTGACCCTGAGTATAACAGGAGATATAAAAAATGGATCAAGTCCTCAAGCTTCATTTTTTTAACCATCTATCTGCCCCTAACATTCTCCCTGACCCTTTCCACATTTTCCGACACCGTGTCCATGTTGTTACTGTTACGGCTCGGGTGCCAGTTTTGCCTTTTGTCTTTGGAGAAGCAATCTACATTTTGATTAGATCGACAAGCAACATTATATAGCATTATGTATCAAAAGCTGGGGTAAAAAAGACAGGAAAAAAATCATGGCAAAAAGAATCTGCAGGTCATTGGCAAATTAACTACGATGACACCTCCCAGAGCCACTGACATCAGTGTTTCCAACTTTGGGCTTTGATGGTAACGTGCAGGTGCTAGCAGTGCATGGAAATGGTTCCAATGAAAAAGAGGCCACTTTACTTCCTGTTTGCCTTTCATGCCAATTATTAGACCTATTAAAAGCCAATAAATAAAAGCCAGTAAAAACTAGCTAAAGGTAATGTGTCATCTATCCAGATTAAAACCAAACAGTTATACCTAGATATATGATGCCTTAGCCTAATTTTGTACTGGATTTGAGACATCTGTCCCCGATAATGCAATAAATATGAGTGGTGTTTACATCTTGGAGCCTATAACAGTGCACTTTTAAAACGTTTTTTTTTTCTGGTT